AAAGCTTTGAGCAGAAATTATAAAGGAATATGATGTAGCTTCATTTATAACAGCACCTGGGTATAGGCAAAAGCAGTCGTGATTCCTTCTTTTATGGAGCCTACCCTGTCATAGGTAAGACAAAGTTCAATCAAATAATCACACTGATAATTATAAAAAGTTTGATTCCAGTACTTGAAACCACTTTATAAAGTTCTATGCAAATATCATGTATTATTTCGCCCTTGTAAAGTAGAACAGAGAATGTTGCTCTTACCCGATTGTGAGCTCTCTGGCACTGGAGAGCTCTTTGCTGCAAAGACAGTGTTTTGCACTTTCTAAAGAAAAATGTTTCCCATTCTTGCACAGGATAGGTAAAGAAAGCGTAGAAGTTCAGTCTCTCCATTTCTGTTTCTGCGTAAGGATGTTTCTATTTCTAGCGCAGTTAAATTTGGATTGTATTGATTCAGGGATAGGGTACATGTTCCATATTCATCTTTATTTTGAAAGAAATAAACAAAATGGACACAGGCACACCTGCAGAGTGTTACGTAAGAGCTGCTGTTCTCTGTAGGAGGCATGTGTTTATTTGTGCTGTTTGTGCTGTAACCCCAGGGTAGACATCTTTGGCATTCACGTTAAAAGATGACAGAAGAGATGAGATTGGTCTTTTAAGTTAAAACACTGACCTGCAATCCTTAACCTTTTCTTTTTATTTATATCCTGTCTTCCCAAGTATTCTCTCCAAATCTGGATTTTCTGAAGCTCCCAAATTCTAACAGGTGTTTCAGGCTTGGTTTCTACTAACCAATCCTGTTGACTCCCTGCCCCTGCCATCAGCCTGACCAGTCTCAGATGGTGATGTGCAAACCCTTGATCTGTCCTTTAGAAAGGTTACTAGCCACATGGAGAGAGAACTGCTCTAGAATAAGAAAACACAGCCTTTCACCAAGTCACTTCACCTCTCTGAAAAGCAATTTTCTCTTCCTCTCTCTGTGAAATGGAGGTATCTCGGTCTCACCCTGCCCATTTGCCAAAGTGGGAGATAAGACAAAGAGGCCAAAGCCTAAGGGTCATCTGACCCAGCTATGGGAATAGAAGATTAATCAGGCTATATTGGAGGAGGTTCTCTACCATGTTTCTCTGGGGGTGATCTAAGAACTTCTCTCAGAAGGTGGTCTTTATTATAATCTCCTAAAGTAAGTGTTTGGAAGGTAGGTTCTGTGTCATGTGATGAGCACAGCTCACGGTGTCATTAGGTCAGTGCTAGTTGGATAACGAGGGAGGGAAAAAACTGTGTTATGAAGCTGATTAGGTGCAGGGTGAAGGGGTTAAGAGAGGAAAGGGAGTCAGACCTGAGATATTTTCCACACCAGCATCTGCTTTCCCTGGGAACTTGAAGAAGCCATGTAACTTGTCTGGGCCTATGTCCCCATCTGAACAATGAGGTGGACCCTACCTGTCCACCTTCCCTCACAGGCTCATTTGCAATGATAAAGGAGATGATAAAAGAGATAAAGCGTCTTACACAGGTAAGACATTTAGTGGAAGGAACTGTGAACTGAAGTGTTCAAAACCCAGCTCAGACACTCATTAGCTCTGCAGCGCGCACTACTGAAGCAGTTTCCCGCTACGTAACATGAAGGTTCGATTAGTTTTGATATTTTTCTTACTAATAGAGATGGGTTTGTAGAAGTTCTCTTAAAGTGCATACAGCCTTAAAACAATTACGTGTCCTGTCATTTTAGGCCTTGGGAAGTCTAAGAAAACATAGCACTAAAACTTTTGTCCATTTCCTGAGTAATGTCTGAATTTACAGGCTTCAGTCTGTTTTCCTGGATCCACAGCATTTAGAGGTACTTAGTAGCACTCCAGGCTTTTATCATTGCTCTCCCTTCACCACTAATGTGTGCCGCTGTCTTCTGTCACCCATTTTGGTGGGATGGGAGGGTGGGATGCCTGGAGGTCAACCTGGCTGCTTCAGTTTTCCCTGGGTTTGCCTGCGCGTAGTCAGTGGATTAATCCCTATATGCATTCATAGGAATAAATGTGCTCACCCGAGACAAGGATTTCTAGGCTCTGCAACCATGACAACCATCTCCAGGCTCTTCATTTAGTAAATGTCACACCTGTAGTATTTGCAAGGGCCTTGGAGTTCTTCCCATCTAGCCCTCTCAATTTTCCTATGGGAAGCCAGGGCGCAGAGAAGCAGCTTTCTGTCGGTCACAGTGATCTGAACAAGGAAAATCCAAAGTCCCAACAACCTGCATGCCACATACTTGGTTACCCTATGGTTGAACGAAGTCAGCCCCTGAGAAAATCAAATCTGGCACTTCCCCACAGTTGCAGCATTCTTCATAAAATCTGCCCTTTTGATTTTGTGCTACTCTTCAAATAGAAGCAGAGGTGTTTGTTTTATTGCAGGTGTGACATTTTACAGCATTTAGCACTTTTGACTAAGAAGTGCGGTTGTGGTAATTACATTTGAGTTCTTCGGATCATTCTCGTCTTAGCCTGGGCTAACTTTAAACGGCTTATTCTGTGCTAGCCATTGTGCTAGCTGCTTTATGTGGGTTATCTCATTCAGGCTTCCAGTAAAGAAGGTCATGACCTATGAGGAATTGCACTGTACAGGTGAGCAAAGTGAAGGTAAGAGAGGTGAAGGGACTGTCCAACGTCATGGAGTTCATGCACGGTAGGCCTGAGATGAATTCAGTCTAGCTTCACACTTGGCCATGGTAGAAAGATCAAGGAGTCACTCTTCTGGTCAGTAACAATTCCAGATACTTCAGAACCATCTAGACACATGCATTTGCTGGCATTTGCTGGATGCACATAGTGGCTCTTCAATAAATGCCTATTGAATCAATCCTTATTTTCAAAGGGAAATGGAACCGGATCTGGAACCAGAAGCTCTAGGCTCTAGTCGCGGTTCTAACAGCAATTCACTGTAACAACTAAGTCTGGTCAGTTTTCATCCATGTGCCCTGGTTTCCACATCTTCGAGGGAGTCCAGAAATGTCAGGATTGGTGGTTCTGCAAGTAGTGTGCTCTCTTTAGGGCTCAGAGCTGGAGTAAATATACCCTGGTCATTTGAGCATGTCAGGCCGGCTTGCCTGAGAGATTCATCCGGACTAGGGCTTTGTCGGTAAGACCTCATGAGTGAGGTGGAAGGCAGCTGCCATGAATTTGGTGAGGCACTTGCCACTTTGTTGCTCTGAGCAGCTCCTTAAAGTAGGCAGGTAAAGCGTCGTACCACTAAGGCTATGGAGAGAAACTGGGAGCGCCAGGACTGCCTCTCTGGGGCCTCCTAAAAGAATGCCAGCTGCGGGGTGCCTGGGTGGCTCAGTGGGTTAAGCCGCTGCCTTCGGCTCAGGTCATGATCTCAGAGTCCTGGGATCGAGCCCCGTATCGGGCTTTCTGCTCAGCAGGGAGCCTGCTTCCTCCTCTCTCTCTGCCTGCCTCTCTGCCTGCTTGTGATCTCTCTCTGTCAAATAAGTAAATAAAATCTTAAAAAAAAGAATGCCAGCTGCACAGAGAATCCTTCCTCTCTAGAAACCGTTGGAGCTCAGGAGCCCCTGGGAACCCATGAGGGTGAAAGGAGCAAGAGCTGCACTGACCAGACTGTGGGAGTGAGCCGATCAGGAAGTGGTAAAGTAAGAGAAATGGTGCGAGTGGGGCAGAATCAGATTTTAAAGTTTCAACCCCCCACCCCCCACCCCACCCCAGGACCAAGAGTAGTAGCTGAGCCCTAGCCGCTTAGACCACAGGACTTTAAACATAACAGGAGACTGGAGAGCGTGGGGGAAGGAGCCTTCCTCTCCATCCTTCCCCCCCATGCCCTTGTCAGCAGGCTGAAAACCAGGGTCTGGTAAGAAAACTTGGATTTATTTGATCATAGCAATATCAGACATTTGCAGCCCTTCTGGTACAATTCTAAATCCGAAATGCTCTGAAAACTGATTGTTTCATAAATTTTGTGGCAAAGTCATTTGGTGGTAAACCTGACCTAAACAGACAGGATGCTATGTATAGCCTCTATTATCTACCTCACTTAGTGGGAAATACGTATGTTGGGTGGCAAAAAATGCTCCTGTATTTGATCACAGAGTGCCTCCATGGGCAGGCTGTGGGCAATAGGCAATTTATGGAAAATGCCTCTCCCCGCCTTTCTGAAATTGGAAAGATTCTGATTTCCAAAAACATCTGGCCCCAAGGATTTCAGAGAAGAGACTTTCAACCCGTAAATTGTTTTCTGTAAATCTTGGTGCATTTCTTTATCCCTTAAGGAAAGGAATGTTCCGTTTGTTCTTCTCACCCTTACAGAGAATACAGCATGGGGGGAGGGGAGAAGCAAAACAAATGTAACCGGTGGCTCGCGGGCTAATAAGCGACAGCCAAAGCTTTTGGGGGGTCTAGGTCCTCCATCGGAGTCGATTTTGGGGGGGACAGAAATCTGCATCTGTACCTTTCCTGCAATTAAAAAAAAAAAAAAAAAAATCACCGATGTCGTTGTGGAACTGCAGCATCCTGGTCTTCGTCTGGCAGCTGCCGGAGCCGCATAGGAGCTGCTCGGCCTTCGGTGCGTGGGACTCGCGGAACCATGGCGCCATCTTTCTTCCAGATTGGGAATCGCATCCTCGCCCTGCGCGGGCCCACTTGCTTGCGGGAACCGTGCGGTCCACCAGGCTCTGGGCTCTGAAACCATTCCCTGGCGCCCAAATCCCAGAGGAAGAGCTGCAGAGAGGGCTAGAAAATGTGTTGTCTTTTCTTTAGTCCCCGAGCTATTAAATTCGCAGCCTAATCCGTTAGGGAGTGTGGGCCACAGACCCCACGATTCATTAGTGTGCACCTAGTGAGTCATTTTACACACTAGACATTTTAATTTACAGCCTGCTGCATTGCAGCACTTTTCTGGGCCTTCTCTGCCATGGGATAAGGTATTCTTCTAGCCGCCAGGGCTTCCAAAATATAGATACACTTTCTTAGTTCAGATTTTTTTCTTTCTTTTCAATTTCCAGTTGCAAATCAAACACGCAGTTACAGAAGCAGAGATTCAAAAGTTGAAGACCAAGGTAAGCACCGTTAAGTGGTGTTTGAATTGTGCTTTTTACACTTCGGATGCTGTGAATAAATTCAGCCCTAGGACTAAAGGATTTGTTCCTGTGCATTTGCAAGAGTACAAATGTGAGAGGCTTTTCCACTGTTAGATACATAGACAGACCTGCCAGTGAGACACATCCCCCAGGGGGTAAACACCACCATACTCCCTCAGCCAAGATAGCACCGGGTTTTAAAAATGCATATTTACATATTTGCCCATATGTGGCCACTTCCCTCTGAGATTTCCTCAAAAAATTAAATATTGCTAATGGTTCTAGCATCCAAGTTACGTTTTGACCACTAATTATGCTGTTCTTATTATACAAATTATTACCCTGTATCTCTTTCTCTTTATTTAAATAGGTTTATTCATTTATTTATTTTTAACTTACACGTCAGAAACAATGTATTTCAATGTAGCACATTAATACTTTTTCATAGAAAAAAATTCCAATTTCTAATAATTAAATATTATGAAATTTAATATAATGTGTGAATAATTGATTTTAAATGACAGATGCTACTGGAAATTTTTAGACAAGTTTAGTTTGCAGTATTTAAATTTGTGGTGGGGAAAACAGGTCTTGATAAAAGGGAGTATGTATTTTTAGTTTATATATGAAATAATACAAGATTCAAAAGGGCACACTTAGTTGGTAAATTATAAGGTGCTTGTAAATTCCTCGAATTGTGTCTAGGTTTATTAAATATGTAATTTCAAGGATTTAAAAATATTTTTGAATTACCTTAAAAATAATATTCTTTATTGTTTTTATGGTCTTTTAAAAACTAAGACATAATTTCTCCCCCCACCACTAATGATCTGTTTTCCTGTTCACATCGAACAATTATTTTGGTTTTTCCATGTGTTTTAAATGGAGATGAATTAGCAGGGCTATTTTGGTTAAATGGTATTCTCAGCTAATAACTCTGTAGCTCTTTAGTCAAAACATGTCTATACATCATTCATGGTGTCAGCCAAGCTCTGTGAATAATCATTTTTAAATTAATAGTGGTTGGTAAATAAACAACTTGAATACAAAACATCGCTTAATAAAAGATGCAGGAAAAACCTATCTCATTTTAAATTGCTGTTGTTTCTTAGCACAGAATGGAAGAATAGATTTTTTTTTTTTTTAATTGTTGGTTATAACCAGGGAAAAAAATTCCCCTGTGGATTATAAGTGCTTTAACAAAACATGTGTTAGACCAGAAACATTTAATTTAGAAATCCTATAAATTAGTATTTTGTATTTCTCTCTTTATTATACTGGCATGTAATATCTATAATAGCTTACTTTATTGTGACTCTTTATATCCATGTTGATAATAGAATTCCTAATTTTGAAATGTTTTTGATTTTTTTTACTTTGTAATCTGTTTTGTCAATGTATTTAGTTTAAAATATGCATTAAAAGATACATATATATATTTATTTGCTGAATGTGGTATGGTCTGGGGATGTCTTCGGTTTTGAAAATTGTTAGTTTATAATGACTCTGCATCCTTTTGAACTTGAAAAGAAGCATGTGGACTAGATGAAGCACTAGTTTAAAGATCCATTATTGTGAATAAATGACATTTGACCCCTCACCTAAAGGATCATCCTTGAATTCCTGTAAAAATAATGGGGTCGGACTAGTATACTATCTATTCCCAAGAGTCCCTGCAAGCAGAAACACAAGAAGCTGCCTTTTTTGGTCCATCAGAGGGATTTAAAATAAGTCAGCGATAATTTATATTTTTTACTTGCATTATCTTTTACACTTTCATGCAAATTGAAGTTTATCAGGCTCTGGAAATTCAGAACACTGCCAGCAAAATAATGAGCTACAGACTGTGTTCGTGTCAGTTGAAATAAAGGATATAATCATATTATTAAAAGGGATAAAAACCAAAGTAAAAATAACTAACACTTATCAGATTATGCCCAAGGAGCTGTTCCAGGCATGCCGTTGTGTTACCTCAAAATTCTGTCTTATAGATAATGTACCTGAGTTTTAGAGAGCTTCCGTCACTTACTTGCCCAAGGTTTAAAAGCCAATAATGGTAGAGCTGGACTTCAACTCTAAACTGAATGACTCCAGAGACCCTTTCTTAACTAGCAGACCAAACTGTGCTTCGGCCCCTCTCTCCTTCCCAGTGTGCCTCTCCCCCTTCACTTTTCAGTTAGTCTTTTACATCTAATTGTGTGTAGGAAAAACAGCTGAAAGAAGGTACATTGAAGTTCATTGGCTAGAATCCAGTCAAACTCTCAAACAGTATGTACTGCTCACAGAATTTCAGACCACATGGGGCAATGGGAAGATCATGGGTGGTGAGATCAAATCCCGGTTTTATTATCTATCAGATGTGTGACCTTGGTTGGACAAAACATTTCCCTCTTCAAGGCTTCCATTTCATAATCTCTGAAATGCTGAAAATAAGGCTTGCTCTTCTCATCTCAAGGTTATAATGATTGAGTATATGTGGCAGTGGAACTTAATTTAAAACATGCTTTAAAAACATGATGGATTTTGCTATAGAATACCCAGATTATCCTTGCCTCGACATTTGCTTTATCCAGCTGCAAGCAGCAGAAAATGAGAAAGTGAGGTGGGAACTAGAAAAAACCCAACTCCAGCAGAATATAGAAGAGAATAAAGAGAGAATGCTGAAGTTGGAGAGCTACTGGATTGAGGCTCAGACCTTATGCCACACAGTGAACGAGCACCTCAAGGAGACTCAAAGCCAGTATCAGGCCTTGGAGAAGAAATACAACAAGGCAAAGAAATTGATCAAGGATTTTCAACAAAAGTAAGCAGCATCTAATGACTAAAGAATTGTGTGCATCTAAAGAGGGCTTACATCCAGTAATCTTATAACATCTAACAGAATAGAAAAGATTATCTCGGTGATCCTTTAAGCAGAGTTATAAAGCATTTAGACGTTCACTTTGGAAATCCCTTCTATCATTTTTTTCATGCGAGATTATATTTTGTTTCTTTCAGAGTTTTTTAGCTCTGTTACCCTCCCCTCCCCGGTTTCTCTTTGATAGTTTGTCACTCCTAATAACTATGAAAACATTTGAATCTCTGTCCTTTTGGCAACAGCTCTGAGGAGAAAGCAAGCAGCCCAGTTGAAGTCACGCAGAGTGACTGACCATGCAAAGCAGTAACTGAGACCTTGAGGAGGTTGTTTCTGTCTCTGTTCTTAGCATCAGGGACTGCAGAACTTTCCCACCTCAGATAGTGTAAACCTTGACTAGCGAGACCCCTTGCCCTGCCATTTTCCGTTGCTCACAAGGAGAATCCCGAGGGGATCAGTTCGCTGCAGTGAGAGTCTATCCGCAAACTTGGCTCTTGAATCTCATCAGCTCTTTCCACATGAATGCTGCTTTGCTTCCCTCTGTTGGATTTTGGTGTAATTTCAGGGAACTGGTTACTTAAAGATTTTTTTCATCAGGAACTTCAGGTGCCTCTGGACAGCCAGAGCAATACAGTCATGCCCGACCACTTCTGGTCTTCATGGCAAGCCTTAGAAGCTAAGCGTATGTGTAAGATTCCCGATGTCTCTGTTATTTCCTATCTCCGAGACCCTGTTTTTCACATTTAAAGGAGACTGCTATAAAATGTTGATTACGGAAAAGGGGAAATTACTTTTTGTGGTCTGAATCCAGTACATCACTATTTTAACTCTTACTGCCAAAAATGTCATCCCTTATTGTGTTTCACGTGATAAATTTATAGTAAGTGTTGCCGGATTAGAAAGTTGAATTCTAAGCTCCCAAAAGGGAGAGATTTTCTCCTCCCCATATTAACTTCTGGTGTGCAAGTGATGGCTCCCCCTCAGTGTTTCTGACCTGCCCAGTCCTTCGCCACTGTCATTCGTAGAAAGCAAATTGTAATTATCTTCTGTAAGCTCTTACCATCCAGTCCTATTGGTTTACGGAGTACATGGCTCTGTAAATACGGAATTGCAACTATCCTACATAGAATCAACTGCACTAAGTTACCCAAGGTAGGTCATTAGTTCAGTAGCTTCTCTCTAAATCTGTGTGGGTACTCAAGAATCAGGAGTTAACAAACAAAAATCACAGAAGCAGAATCAAAGCATTCTTCTCTCATTTAGGAGCCATTAAGATGTTTAATTTGCTTTCATTCCTAGATGCCTTCCCCCCCCCAACTGTGATTGAGTGTTGTTTATTTAAATAGCAACCCACTCGTTTGTCCCACTGTGCAGTTTATTGCTTCAGATAAGAACTTCCACGTGTTTTCTCATTTATTGAGTATTTGATGTCATCAGATCTTTTATTTTCTTCTTAAGAGAACTTGATTTCATCAAGAGACAGGAAGCAGAAAGAAAGAAAATAGAAGATTTGGAAAAAGCTCATCTTGTGGAAGTTCAAGGTCTGCAAGTACGGGTGAGTTACGTGCTCAAAACCACTAAGTCATAGGATGGTTTGGCTGAGTACTTAGAGAGGAGTGCTGGCTTCGAGGTTTACGGATGGATTTTCTTTTCCCCTTAGATTAGAGATTTGGAAGCTGAGGTGTTCCGACTACTGAAGCAAAATGGGACTCAAGTTAACAACAACAACAACATCTTCGAGAGAAGAACATCTCTTGGTGACGTCTCTAAAGGAGATACCATGGAGAATTTGGATGTCAAGCAGACATCTTGTCAAGATGGCCTAAGTCAAGGTTTGTTTAAACTAACCACAAAAATTATTTCCAGTGACTATAAAATTGAGCCTTACATTCTTCGTTTTCTTACCCGGAGATTTCAAAGTTGAGACAGCCTTCCTGCCATGAGAAAGAAGAAAAGGTTTATCAAAATAAGAACCTATCATTTAGCTCTTGTTTTATCAAAAACCAATGCCTTGATGAGAGGAAATAACAAAACTGCAACTTAAGCCAATTATTTTTTTAAGTCATGATAATATTGATAGACTTAATGAACTACCTTAATAAGAATAAGTAAATAAACTACCCTAACATGATAGTTCATCTATGATGAGCTACTACTTATGTATTAATAAGTAAATCTTATAATTTTTAAGTCATTAGAACGAAAATCTTTTTCCTAATATCAAAAGGCTGACTACCTACTTCTAGCACTTGGAATTCATTGAGTTACGAAGTTCTGTATACTTTTATGGTTTTATTTTGGTGTCCTCTCTATACTTCTCAGTCTTTCCTGTCAAAGAGCAAATAAGATTCAAAACACTGGAAACATTTGTTCTTGCAAATGTTTGTCTTGTTTTATGTACCAGCCATAAAACAGTCACTTGTTTTCCTACGCAAACATACATCCATACAGAGGTTGTGTGTATATGAATGTGAATGAATGCTTTAATATCTATAGTGCATTTATAAATTAGAAAATGTGTAAGAATTTATAAAGATAAATACACAAGAGGATATAAAACCTTTGGTTCCATCTTTTAAATATTTACCTAATAGTCCTCGGAAAAAGTGAAAGTAAAAGAATGTAGTGAATCAGTGCTGTCATGATAGGACAGACAACTCCCAGGCAGTGATCTGACATGCAGGAAAACTGTTCACTAATGAGCTGTATAATTCTCTGATGTTCTTTCTCACATACTAAAATGTCTCCAGTGAGACTTCTTTTGATACAGAAGTGTTTATATCATATCATTAACTTTTAGAGTTTCATTCTTAGCCATTAAAAATGAAAAGTATTGGAAATCTTCATTTAAAATTAAAGTGAGATCTAGAACTTTGAGACCATTTACTACATTTGTATCCTTTTGCTGGGCTTTCCCTTAATAAATATAATGGGTACATCTTGACTCCTGGGTGGCTTAAAGAGGAATGTTTAGCAAGGGCGTTACCACTAACTGAAGAGCTGCGTGTCTTCAGGAAGGTCATTTAGCATCTCTGGATTGGGTTTACTATGCATAATATAAAAATAGTCACACTTGTTTTTTCTCCATACCAACAGGTGTTTTGAAGTTATATGTTTTTGTCACTGAGGTGAATCAATCTTTTATAGGATTATAATTATTATATCAGGAACTTTAGAAGATTGATTTCTAAAGAAAAATCATTTAAAAAAATCAATGTTTTTTTTCACCTTTTGGAATATTTTAATTCCATTAAATTAATTGTAGTTTATAACAAATAAGTGTTTCTGCAGTGACATGCACCAGGTGTGATCTGTAAACCAGTGGCTTTCCAATGTTCAGTTCATTTCTGTTCATTTGTTTCCATTCAGAAATCTGTATCTTGTCAAACATATAATTAATGGTATTTATTAAATTATGTGACTACAGAAGATCAACAAACTCTACCATTAACATGCTGATTTGGATCAAAACCTTATATTTCTTCTGAACCCTTTTCCTATTCTACACCCTCCATTTTGCCACATAATTATCAGTTTCCCTAGCAACACTGTCGGTTCACAGTGAGATGTGAAGACTACTAATTCTTACTGAAACCAATCCATGCTTGTGCAGTGGAGGTAGAATCAGTCATCTTAGACATTAGTAGCATACATATCAAGCGCTTGCTCTTCCAGTTTTGCTGCCGAGGACAGTCAGTGATAAATCTCCTTGAATTTCAATTGCTTGGTCACATAAACTAAAATGGCTTGGTCAGTAGCTAGATAGGAATGCTCTGGAAAGCACTTTTCTAAATTGATCCTTTGCTTCTGTTGCTAGGGAACGCTGAAGTCCTAGAGGTTTAGAAAAGGAAGTAAAACTGAGGACCAAACAAAGGCTATTCGGCACTTAAAGATCCCCTCCCCTCTCCTCCCCTCCGACATACCTTTTGGCAGCAGGATGGGTACAGCAGTTACCATCAGCCCTACTAGTTTCCGCCCCTCAGATGCAGTGCCTTTTCTCCCCACTGCCTGTGGACTGTCCAGTTTTGACTTGCCTTCTGAGCACTGGAGTGCTTTATTGATAAGATGAGTGGTTTAGCAGGTCTTTAGGTCTTGAGGCTCAGTAAAGCAAAAGGATTATCAATTAAAGTCATTGAAAAACTATGTTAGAATGCAATACTGAAAGAAAGAGAACAGAAGGAGAGAATGTAGGGGGCAGAATGGGAGGAGGAGGAGAGGAAGAGCCCACATGCAGTCGTTTCTTCACAAGGAATCATGTTCTTCTATGAATGAGTTTCCCAGATGAGGAAGGATTAATTATGTGACTCTAGGTATTGAATTTATGTTAAGTTTTCAGAGTGATAAAATCATTTTTCAAACCATGCAGAAATTTACCATAGTTACAGTTCTATTTGAACACTATTTGTGTGGTTCTCTCTATAAACCAAACCTACTTAAGTAGCTCATTAAAATTGTGATAGATTATACAAAGCCATTAATATGCTCTAATACATCTTTTATCATAATACATAGAGCAAATATAACATTTTTTTTAACCAGAAGCCATGACAGACCCTTATTAAGGATTATTACCTAATTATTAAGAGTTATTAATTAACACTTATCATTCATTAACTAGAACACATTGTTTTACCTGTGTTCCAGGATGTGAAAAGTAATTATTTTGCCTTCCTGTCATTTTTTTTGTTGTCATTTCTTAGTGCCTGAGTAGTGCTACTCTATGTATGTCCTCTATCCAGGAGCCCTAAGTGAGTAGAAGTGTCTGCAACTGCCCAGGGATTTGAGTCATGATTAGAGTAAGAGCAGAGAACCGGTTAGAGAGATCTTGGAAGAAAAGGGTTGTAGTCTTGGTTTGATTAGATTCCCTGGAAAATTCCGCTGAACAACATGAATTTCCCACACTTCATATATTCCGGGATCCTTAAGATGATACTGTTTTTGGCTTCAAATATTGTAAAGGCTCTTGTGAAAGGTTCTGCATATTTCATAGAGATAATGAAAGAAAAACTAGGACTAATTGGTAGAAGTTACGTATGAAGAGGGATTATCACTATCCTGCCTCGAGAGGTTAGAAGTAAGTACAATACCTTTAGGAAAGTGTTTTGAATACTGGAAGTCTGGTGCCTCACTCACTTGTAAGAGGAAGGATGGCTCCTAGACAGAAAGAACGATGTTTGTCCCTGCCAGTTGTACAACAAGGCCTATCATTTGTAGGATAAAGGGCAAGGAAGATGAATGGTTTGGTCGAAGACAAATACATAGATGAGTTAAACATTTTAAGAGATGAGAGGGAGGGGCACCTGGGTGGCTCAGTCATTGAGCATCTGCCTTCAGCTCGGGATCGTGATCCCAGGGTTCTGGGATCCAGCCCCGTGTCAGGCTCCCTGCTCCATGGGAAGCCTGCTTCTCCCTCTCCCACTCCCCCTGCTTGTGTTTCCTCTCTCGCTGTGTCTCTCTCTGTCAAATGAATAAATAAAATCTTTAAAAAAGAAAAAAAAAAAGAGATGAGAGGGAGTTGAAGAAGAGGAAAAACATGAATAAAATTAGAATAATTTTTTTTTTTCTGATTCATAGATCTTACGTTAAAGAATGAGACCTTATGTTAAAGGTCTGCTTCAGGATATTCTTGGAATAAAAGTAGGCTTTGAGTTCCTGAGAAGAAGTCATAGCTATCTCCGTAAGCGCTGGGACCTGTTAGTAGTTCTCAGGCATAACAGGAATTGGGTCACTTGTGGGTTTGTGAAGGTAGTTCAAGTATCCCTGTGAGGTTTGGATATTACTACCAAATCCTTCTTTCTCATACCCATCTACTCACCTAGTGGGCCACTAGTTAGAAAACACTGAATGTTATCTTCCCTAAAGTGTGAACATGGAAGGATTATATAAAGCCTTTTATTCTTATTTCCTTTAGTTAGTTACTGTTCCTTTGCTCTAATAAGAACTGAGCCAGAAGAAAAAGACTGATGGTTCAAGATGGCAGATTGTAGGAAAGACTAGACTTTCAGCATAGAATGTACATAGAATTAAATAAATAAATAATGCATAATTTGGAGCAAACAGTGATATTAATATTGATAATATCCTTAGAGTAAATCACTGATGATTGTTATTAGGACATTTTCACACAGTGACCCTCAGTGTAAACTAATGGCATCACACAAATATGTAATACAGTGTTCAGTAAAACCGAATTAAATTATTGGAGAGAGTATGGATAAGACATGACGTACTCAGCTATCCGTTGATCTAGTTTTGCACTCAGGTGCTCTTTCATGTGTAGCAGGTTAAATTTCTTAACCATGTTCAAAGAGAGATGTGTTTCAAGTATGTCTCACCCTGTAACTGTGGAGTTACCTGTTACTTCTTTTGGTTTTGTCAGTTTTTGCTTTATGGGTCTGAGGTGATGTTAATAGGCACATACAGTTTAGAATTGCCATATTTTCTTGGTAGGTTGACCTTTGATCATCAGAGAATGTTTCTACTTTTAGTAATTCACCTTAATATCTGCCTTGTCTGGTATTTGAAGAGCTATATCAGCTTTCTTTTGGTTAGTGTTTGTATGGTATATCATTTTTTTTTTTTTACTGTAAACTTTGTGTCTTTTGTACCAGTATATAGATGTTTATTTTTTATTACAATCTCTCAATCTTTTTAAGTTTTCCCAATTCTTTATTTTTAAGATGCATTTAGAAAGTTCTTTAATTTATTTACTGATATGTTGAGTTTAAAGCTAAGCTCTTACTATTTGTTTCTAATCTAAAAACAAAAATCTCTGTTCTTTTTATCTGCTTTCTTACTTTCTTTTGGATTAATCAAGTGGGGATTTTTTTTC